TTAAAAATATCAATCATAAATTTTATTTTTTTAAAACTCAATGAATGTCCATACCGAAAGTTTAATTTGAGACAACAAGAGTAAATATTTATTCAAAAATTCAAAATGCTCAGGACCCCATGACACGAAATTATCATTTCGTTCTCAAACACAATGAAAATGAAAAGTGCGAGCAGAGCTTAGGTTTGGCCTTTCTCGTTATTTCTTTTTTTTCCGTAACACATTTCTACGTATACACATAACACATTGATCTGTCTCACTGTCAAAGAACCAATTCAACCAAAAGCTCAAGCTTGTGATTGTGGCCCAGGAACAGTTATTTATATTCTAACACGCCCCCTTCACGTGCAGGCGTAGTCTTTTTCAAGCCTTGCACGTGAAACCATAATTTTTTTAAACTGGGTAGCGCTGAGTTTCGAACCCGTGACCTTTTAGTCAACGAGGCTCCGTTACCATGTCAAAGAACCAACTCAACCAAAAGCTCAAGCTTGTGGTTGTTGCCCAGGAACAGTTATTTATATTCTAACACTCACCTTCATTAGAAGTTTTATTTTTTTGGAAACCGGGTAGTATATGTGGAAATAAAGCTAAAAGCACGATTAACGGCCTCCTGTTTGGCAATATCTTTCGCATTTAGTTTTGAGTTATATTCATAAAATAGTGCATGTGGCCTTGTATAAATAGGTAAATAGTATGTGTATTTAAAAAGTTAGAAAATAGTCCCTGCAATGAGTGCGGTCAAAGAATTAATGCATACCTCGAAGCTTAATGGAGGTTTTGAAGATTTTCCGGCAAAACTTCCGGCGAGAATTGTAGCTATCTCCGGCGATGGGAAGCTCTCTTGACAGCACTACTTCACTCTCTACACTCTCAGCTATTTATTGGAAGAAGAATGGTGAAAAATGGTATGTTTAGAGAGATATATATAGTGGGGAGGAGAGGAAGAAGACACAGGTTTGGTGACATCCGTTTCCCTATTCTGGCGTCTCGGTGGAGGGAGCGGCGATTGCTAGGATTCCCAGACGCAAGTCCCTGATTGGGACTAATTTGGTCCCAGTCGGGGAACACTTTTTGGTCCAACTTTCTCCGAATTGAAATCCGATTGCACCGTTGCGATCAGAAAGTTAAACTCTATCTAACGATATAATTTTTATATTCATTCGTTATACTTTTTCCGACATCATATTTTGGGTGGTTGACTTTCACAGAGTCAAAATTGGTTTAATTGACCTTTATTCAAAAAGGTTCTCACATTTAATTCTGTTAGACAAATGTGCAACTCTAGAGGGGGGGTGAATAGAGTTGTTTTCAAGAAAGTGCGTTTTTCGCGTAAAAAACAAAATTATCGCAGGAATAAGTAAAGAGAGTAAGGGAAAGAAGAACACCGGGATTTATACTGGTTCACCACCTCGTGGCTAGTCCAGTCCTCCGAGAGACTCTCTCGAAAGTCCTACTAATCTTCAAGCTTCAACGGGTGCTTGAAAAACCGGTACAACTTGAGAGCTTGAATCACACAAGCCTCACTTTCTTACAACAACAAGACTTGAGTCACACAAGTCTTTTGAACAACACTCAAATGAGATTGAGTTTACAACACAAGAATGAAAGCTCACACAATTGAGCAAAGTAGTGTTTGAAAGATTTAAGCTCTTTGGATGACAACTTCTATAGCACTCAAAGAAAAAATATTTCTAACTCTCAAAAATAATATTTTGATGAGGAAGATGAAGCAAAGGATGAATAGCTCAAAGAAATATATTGGAGTGCAAGAGGTGTGTATTGAAATGAAGGAGAATGAGGGATTAAATAGGCTGAGGAAAATAAAGCCGTTGAAGAAAGCTGATGTTCTGTACCAGAGAGAATTAATCGATTAAATTAGGAATTTTAATCGATTAAAGTGTACAGAAGCGAAAAGCCTGAAAAGAAAACTGAATCATAATCGATTAAATGAAGACAAATAATCGATTAATAGGCTCTGTCCGAACTAATCGATTAATTGCTGAGAAATAATCGATTATTGTTCAAAAATGAGCAGCCCCACTGAAAAGCTTAAAAATCGATTAAAATGAAGCAATAAATCGATTAGGAGGTTCTGTCAAAGCTAATCGATTTTTTTAATAGAAAAAATCGATTAAGAATTCAAACCTGAGAAATTGCGCTGGATCTAATCGATTAAAATGAAAATAATGCGCAAACACAAAGGGCCCAAGCCAAGTGCGATTGGAAGCACTTTGGCTTCTAACTCGTTGTTTGGGACAACGAGAATAACAAGGCGCTCCTACGATTATATCTCCCTATTCAATGAATTTGAGTAGGGGAGAGAAAAAGAGAGTCCAAAAATTATTTTGTGTGTCAAACAATACACGAGAAAATTTTTAAAGTATATTTTTCTCACCAAAGAAAATTGTGTAACTTTAAAAAATAATGTTTTAAAGAAATTTTGACACACTTATTTTGAAACTGACTCACTAAAATATTTTAGACACAGAAAAAATGATTTTTCAACTGACTCAAAAATAATTTTTATCCCTCAGAAATTAAATTGTTTTGTGCAAAAGATATTGTCATCCTTACAAGAATCCTAGACTCAATAAAAATTAAAAAGTCTTCGGAGTCTTCACATCACTTCAAAAAACTGCGTTGGGGGACCGTTGATTTTTATCCCGTAACTTTCTTGATACGCCTCTTTTCTTTTCTCGGTACGAAAAGTAAATTTTCGATCGTCGTTTGAATTTCATCATCCTGTTTGTCATTTATCAAAACAAGAAAATATTCCAGAAAAAACACCTTAGATAAAATACTTAAGCATTGTTGGTCTTATGGGGGACCATCGATCACCCTTAGGGATTCGCTACTGTGCTAGTCACGGTATCGGGTACTGACAGCCCAACCTGACGAGGTACACGAGTCGTGTATCTTGCGAAGCCCCTCTTGTCCATCCACCGCTCAGTAGTGGGGCTCCGCACTACCGTAGTGAACTATAGGGGGTGCCCTATAGGAATCTACCTTGGCTTGAGGCTACAGAGAGATGTGGTTAAATACAAAGTGTCCACCTTCCTATCACCAATTGGTTTTAGAAAGCATTTGGCACCTCTTTAACTTCAGAACTCTGTAGTTAAGCGTGCTGGAACGGGAGTAGTCCCAAGATAGGTGACCCACTGGGAAGTTCCAGAAAACGATCCTACAAATTCATATTATTTATTTCCATGATTTATTTCAATAAATCATTTCAAAGTTCACATTATAAACAATTTCTTCATTTATTCTTAATTTGGGTCTGTACTCAGGTTTCCAATCAAGATCACACAATAAATCAACATGTTGGATTTATCTCTATGAGATTTATCCCAATTATGTTTATTGGATATCAATATATATTTTATTTCAGCCCAAAGCCCAAAAAAAATTATTTTAATCAAAACAAATTTTGTTTAATTGAATATTTAATTCAATAAATTTTAGGGTATATTTTGGGGCGTTACATTTCTTCCCCCGTTAAAGGAATTTCGTCCTCGAAATTCTTCTAAGGTCAAACGTTCAACATTTCGTAGTGATCTCACTTAATCATGACCGTGTCATGCTCAATGGGTTAAACCATAATTACGTCATTATCCATGTAATCTCAAACTGTCGATGTTATCAAACTCGTTCTTTCTTCAAGAGGTTAACAATCTTAGATTAAGCAAGGTATCCAACAATCCTTTTGCGGGTTCTTGTTCAAATTCAACATCCATAACTTGGGTTCCTTTGCAGGGTATAACATCGTATTTTAGAGCATATTTAACATATTTGCACATCACTTCGTTCATTCACAAGTCTCGATTGTTTGTCATTATTCAACAACATTCCTTCTTTGATTGAAAGTTCTTCAATAGCCTTTGTAGTTTCGAATCATCACCTTCACGATAGGTATAGTTCAGGATTTAGAGTTTGTTTCAAAACATCTTCACATCGTTCACATAGTCCATCAATGACTCGTAAATAACATTAAATGGCTTTCATCGGTTCAGAATATGGAATTTGTCATCATTTATAAGGAAGTACTTTCGATTGATTGTACAGTAGCTTGTTATCATCGATTTACATCGAAACATTTCTTCATTCACTTCATGGTGGCGCTCATTTATCGTTTAATGAGTCTTCGTATTCATAGGTGATGACGTTTGAGTAGCGTCTCATGTACGACTTGTCGTATTTAAACTTCTTCTATTAATTTGAAACCATATCTAGATATGATAGCGACAGATTCGATTGTAGCACTATGGCTGATCTTGTTTCAAGGGAAGAAGAGAATTTCTTCAGTACGCGATTCAATTCATGAATTCATAGAGTGAGGGATCTTTACAAGTTCTAACACCAACATTGCATATAGGTTAGGGATTTTCGCTTGAATGATTCAGCTTGTTCTCGTGATGTCATTTCTTCTCTGGTTGTTGCACACACATATCCTTGCTAGGGTTATAACGGAGTTTGTTTGGTCAATAAGATCATCGATAATAATCTTCAGAGATAACGTAATTGTATTGATTGTTTTGTGGTCTACAACGAGAGGTTCAACATAATGTTCAAGTCAAGGTAGTTTTACTATTGTGATCGAGTCATGTATTCCACAAGGTATAGTTTTCAAAGATTGGTATCATAAAACATCTTTTTCGTTTAATGAAGAATCGTGGTTTTATTATTTTGATACAAGGAATGGAATTCAATCTTTTCAAGATTGATCAAGCGGGATGTTTCAACGGTGTAGTTAACACATCAAGTTTGAGTAATTCAAGGATATGAGTCATAAGATATCAAGATAGCATTTGTGAATTACCTTTACTAACCGTAGGTTTTCTTCCTTCAATGTTTCACTCTTTGGAAGTTACTCAAGAGGTCGTTGTCTTAGGAAATAGCCATTTTGACTTTTCGTCTCGGATTTGAACGTGTTTCAGGACAGTGAATCTAAATGTTCAAGAGTCTCAATACGTCATATCGTCAGCAGACTATAGTATTAGCGAGTACGTTCTCGTTTGCAGGTAATTTGAATCCATTTTACTGTACGTATTTTGGCTGGTGATAATTACTTTTCCATCAATGGTCCAGTTTTAGAGACTATATATATCACGATTATGGAAAGAGTATCTCACATTCTCACATTATGGAAGGAACTTCTCGAACACTTCCTTACACCATAAGGTTTGTTGGTCTACTTGATAGTCATTCTCTTGGTATAAATCCAAAGTTTATGGCTACTACAGTAGCTTTAGGAAGGGAATTGTTAAGACGAAAAATTAAACTTGCCTATGGAGGAGGTAGTGTTGGCCTTCAAGGAGCTGTTGCTTCAACAGTCTTTACCAATGGTGGTCTCGTTAGAGGTTTCATTCCTGGGTATATAGCAACACAACGGGTCTATGGACCTACGTACGGTGTAGAGCACACAGTTTCCAGTAGTTACTACAAATATTTTGAGATGAATCATGCCGTGGAAGCTTTCATTGTTCTTCCCGGAGGAGTTGACACCATGGAAGGTTTGTTCACCTTGATCTCGTGGGCTTCTGAAGGGTTACACAATAGACCCATTGGTCTTTTAAACATTGACGGTTATTTCAATAACCTTCTCAAATTCTTAGACGATGCGGTGAGGAAGAACTTCATGGCTTCCAGTCAGAGGAAACTTTTTATCTCTTCTTTCTCTGTTGACGAGCTTTTAGACAAACTAGAGTTTGTTAAAGCTTTCCCGGGGCCTGGGGTTAGTTATGATGAGTTTGTGAATCCTGGGAGATTAGACTTAGAATTGCATTTGTAACATTCCTCATATGATCCAAGTTGTATGTTGAAATGATATTTTCCATAAATATTATTCTAGGCTGTATGACCAGTGCGAGCTATATTTTCTTCATTCTTTAGTCTTTCACTGTTGGTGTCACTGTTTCACATCTTGTTTTGTATTGTTCCACGTCGCGATCTTTCACGTTAATAGCGTATACGAACGAGTCAATTTTCTTAACTATTTGCCTTGTCAGCATCACTTTATTTCACTAATGTTTTTGACGATAAGAAATTAAGTTATTATAACAAGGCATCCGTTCATTCAACAAGGTCGAGCTGTCTATAGCTTCTAACAAACGGGTTCCTTGAATTTGATCGAACAACTCGTCAGTTCATTGTAAAGGAAAGCGATTCTTGGTCGTCAGTTTGTTCAAGTTTCTTGATAGAGATTTGTGGGTATCCTGACCGTAAGTCAATCTTAGAGAATACAACGGATTCTCTAAGCTGATCAAATAAGTCATGATACGAGGTAAAGGAGAATGAATTGTTCAACTGGCAGTAGTTGATATAGAGTCTCATTGGTTCGCGTATGAACAAAATAGGTATTCTCCCAAGGAGGAAACACTTGATCAGGTGATTCTTTGTCAGGAAGTCATTGATGGAAACACGATCAATACAGAGTTACGAATATTGGTCCTTTCTAGGATCAAGATTGATAGAGAATTCAATTTCTCGCAACGGTGAAATATTAGGAAATTCATATCAGAGAGGTGACATACTTTCGGTACGTTATTTCAGTTCAGATGTTTCTTTTCGCGTAGACTTCACACTTGTTATGGCTGAGATGTTTTCATATATATATATATATATATATATATATATATATATATATATATATATATATATATATATATATATATATATATATATATATATATATATATATATATATATATATATATATATATATATATATATATATATATATATATATATATAATGAAAAGGATATTTATTTAACGAATAAAAGGAAGAGTTACATCTGCCGTAATGGCTCCTTTGACAAAGGTGGGAAGAGTGGAAAGAGAGATACAAGATGAAAAAACATAGTGTTTGTTACTCCATCTTGCTAAAGTTTGTGCTCCCAAATTGCCTTCTCTCAGGATGTGTCTGATTTTGGTACCTTGTTGTTGTGACGCTTCATAGAGGCGGATCCAGAGGTCGGGAGTTAAACCCGGGTTTGAATGTTTGTGTATACCTTTGACGGTGATCTCCGAGTCCGAATGGGCCCAAATATTTTCCGAGAAGTGTTTAGCCCAAGTTAGGCCCAATAGTAGACCCATTGCTTCTCCTTCCAGGGGGTTAGTTACGCAGAGTTTCCAGGTACTTGCCGCCATAAATTTTCCAAGTCCATTGCGCAGGATTGCGGCGCTGAGCATTCTGCCA